GCAAAACCCTGTCTCTACTAAAAATACAAACATTAGCCTGGTGTGGTGGCGGGCACCTGTAGTCCTAGCTACTTGAGAGGCTGAGGCAGGAGAATCATTTGAACCCGGGAGGCAAAGATTGCAGTGAGCCGAGATTGTACCATTGCACTCCAGCCTGGGCAACAGAGTGAGACTGCATCTCAAACAAAACAAAACAAAGAAACAAACAAACAAAAAAACCAAAGAAAAAGACACTGTAGCACTGGAGCAAGGATGGATAGATAAATTGTATCCCCCAGGGTCCGATCAGGAGGCAGAACTGGTAACTCTTTAAAAACCTCTGAGAGCTCTAGGCTCTGGTTACGTGGAGAGATGCTTTTGGCCAAGGGCTGCTGACCACCAGCAGCATGGACCTCTGGAGGCCAAAACAGGACTGACAGTCACAGATGTGTTTGCCATCTCATCTTTATGTGAGTGGAGTAAGGAAAGATGAAAGCCACAGAATGAGACCTTTCTGGACATGACTATACAGGAGCCCAGCCTGGAATGCACTCAGAGTTGACACATCAGTGTCTGCACGGGCGTGAGCCCATGAACCTGAGTAGGTTGGTCTCTAGATTCTACATTTGGCCTCCCCCTGAATATCAGAAGCCTGTTCAGACAAGAACTAGGTCTTTGTTAGTCATTTCTGTAGCTCTAGCATCACCTGCCCAGGGCACACTCAGAGGAAACACCGGGAAATTCTTCCTGAATGCATATCTCAGCAAGCCAATGAAGAGACCCTTTCCTGCACAGACCCACCATGCAGGCTTGAGGGCTGGGAGAAAGAGCCAGGTCTTCTGTTGGAAGGTAACCCCACTGCCCAGGTGAGCACAGAAAGGAAAGCCTGGGTGAGGGTCAAAGGCAGGGCTATGGCCCTGGTCCTATCACCTGTAGATGGAGGCCAAGGGGCAGGTGAGCCACATGTTATTCGTCCACTTGCCGGGCTGGTCAATGTAATAGATGAAGTATGGCTGGTGAATTTCCCTGAAGGGGTTGCAGGGTACATGGCAGGCTTCCACCTGCAGTTCTGGCTGCATGCGGCTGAATTGCATCTTCTTGTCTCTCAGATACAGCCAGCAGGGCATGGGATTTTCCAGGGGCTCCTCAATATAGCAGTACCCCAGGCGTTTGCGCTCACCCAGTTCCCCGCAGCGGTTACAGTCCTGCCAGGGGTCCCAGTGGGTAAAGACAAGTACCTCACCATCCAGGCTCAGGGTCTCATTCTGCAAGGGTTTTTGGTTCAGGTTCTTGTGCGTAACATGAAGGGTGGTAACGTCCTGGAAGTCGATTTTGTATTCTACCACGAGGGTATCATTAATGCCCTGGCAGCGATAGAGGCCCGTCTGGGAGGGCTGAGGCTTGGTCAACTGGAGGCTGCCTCCAGGCAGTTGCCTTATGTAAGGCATTGAATTAAGCAGAGAAGGATCTTCCCCATGAATGGAAGAGAAGTACCAGAGTGCCATGGGATGGTCACACTTCAAGACAACATCATTGCCCGAGAGGAGGGCTCGCTGGCAGAGGTTCTTGTAGGCACAGCTGATTAACATCTGGGCCCACAGAGTGGGGCAAGAAAAGCTAAGCAGCCACAGGGTATCCAGCATGGCAGACCAAGGCTGAGGAAGGAGGCTAGGAACTCCCTAGGCATTGTGAAGTCACTCATAGAACTCGAGGATCAGCCCAGCCAATGGAATGAACCTTGTTCCACTGTGTTTTCAGGAGTGCAATTCAGTTCATGTCATCAAGTGGCTTGTCATAGGTTGTAGGGTCGAAGATGAAATATCCACAGGAGCTGGACAAAATGGGTGAGCCTAAATCTAAACCAGCAAACTACAAAGGCAAATTATTGGCCTTCCACATACCCAGTATTTAATGATGGAATGGGACAAAATGGCTTTATGATCATTAGAAAGAGGAAGAGGCCACGCACGGTGGCTCACACCTGCAATCCCAGCACTTTGGGAGGCTGAGGCGGGTGGATCACTTGAGGTCAGGAGTTCAAGACCAGCCTGCCCAACACGGTGAAACCCTGTCTCTACGAAAAATACAAAAATTAGCCGAGTGTGATGGCATGCGCCTGCAGCCCCAGCTACTTGGGAGGCTGAGGCAGGAAGATCACTTGAACCCAGCAGGCAGAGGTTGTAGTAAGTTGAGATGGTGCTACTGCATTCTAGCCTGGGCAACAGAGTGAAACTCTGTCTCAAAAAAACAAAAACAAAAACAACTACCCCCAAATCTCAACATAAAACAAGAAAGGTTTACTTCTTATTCATTGTACATTGGTATCAGAATCATTCAGGGATCCAGGGTGATGGAGCAACTGCCATCTCAAACATTTTCAGTTTCTTCCTAGGAGAAAGAAAGAGATCGCTGTAGGATTTCAGGTCTACATTAAATGCTCTGCCCTTAAGTGACACGTCATGCCACTTGCTCACAAACCATTGGCCAGAAACAGCTACATGGCACCGACAATCCACCAAAAGAAATGGAACTCTACAATTTCCAAGAAACTTTTGGCAAATGGCAGTAATGATTTCTATGGCTAATATCTATTACAAGGAGTTTTTCCTCTGGTATTTTCCTTTATATCATAGAGCTAAAACCATTTCCAAAATCCTCACATCAGTTCTCTCCTAACATTCTATTGGCCAGGATTGGGGTCCATGACCAGCTCTTGTTCCTAGGAGGATTGGGTAAGGTCAGCTTTTTCTTACCAGAAAAGCCATTGCAGACCCAAATGAAATCAGGGTTTTGTATGCAGGAGAGTTGTAGAAAAGAATGCTGATTTGGTGTAACCAACCACATCTTCCACATAGCAAAGAAACCACCTAGCAAAGAAACGTCTTAGACCAGATGGTTCATGAGTTAGTTCAACCAAACATTTAAAGAATTCAAACAAATCATTTTGAAACTTCCAAAACATTGAAGGGAAGGAAACACTTCCTAACTCATTCTATGCAGCCGGTATATCCATAATACCAAAGCCAAATAAAGACATCACAAGAAAAGAAAATTATAGACTCATATCCCTTATGAATATGGATGCAAAAATCCTCAGCGAAATATTGGCAAATCAAATCCATTAGCATATTAAAAGGATTACTCACCATGTCCAAGTACGATTTATGCAGGAATACAAGGGTGGTTCAACATAAGAAAATCAATCAATGTATAACACATCACATTATTAAAATGAAGGAAAAAACACACATACATGATCATCTCAATTAATACAGAAAAGGCATTCGACAAAATTCAACACACCTTCATGATTAAAAAAAAAAACCAAAACAAAGGAAACTGTCAGGCACAGTGGCTCACACATGTAATCCCAGCACTTTGGGAGGCAAAGGCGGGCAGATCACAAGGCCAAGAGTTCAAGACCAGCCTGACCAATATGGTGAAACCCCGTCTGTCTCTACTAAAAATACAAAAATTAGCTGGGCATGGTGGCAGGTGCCTGTAATCCCAACTACTCAGGAGGCTGAGGCAGGAGAATCTCTTGAATCCTGGAGACCAAGGTTGCAGTGAGCTGAGATCGTGCCACTGCACTCCAGTCCGAGCAATAGAGCGAGACTCCGTCTCAAAGCAACAACAAAACAACAACAACCAGAAAATTAATCATGCAGGGAAAATTCCTCAATGTGATAAAGAGTATTTATGAAAGGCCAGGCATGGTGACTCCCGCCTGTAATCCAAGCACTTTGGAGGCCAAGGCGGGTGGATCACCTGAGGTCGGGAGTTCAAGACCAGCCTGACCAACATGGTGAAACCCTGTCATATATATTTGTGTGTGTGTGTGTGTGTGTGTGTGTGTGTGTAGTTATGAAAAACTCACAGCTGCCGGGCGCGGTGGCTCACTCCTATAATCCCAGCACTTTGGGAGGCCAATACGGGTGGATCACGAGGTCAAGAGATCGAGAACATCCTGGTCAACATGGTGAAACCCCGTCTCTACTAAAAATACAAAAATTAGCTGGGCATGGTGGCACACGCCTGTAGTCCCAGCTACTCGGGAGGCTGAGGCAGGAGAATTGCTTGAACCCAGGAGAGGGAGGTTGCGGTGAGCCGAGATCACGCCATTGTACTCCAGCCTGGGTAACAAGAGCGAAACTCCGTCTCAAAAAAAAAAAAAAAAAAAAAAAAAAGAAAGAAAGAAAGAAAGAAAAACTCACAGCTAACATCATACTCAATGGTGAAACACTGGAAGCACGGGCGATGGCTCTGAGGACTGTGAGAAGCATATTTGAGAGCACCAAGGAGCTCAGTGTGTAAGCTGAGTAAGCCAGAGAGAGTGGGAGGAGGTGAGGTAAGAGAGGAAAGGTCAGTTTCTGCTGAGAGTAAGGAGGAGCCACAGGAGGGTTGGGAGCAGGTGGGCGAGATCTGGCTGGAGTTTTAACCGGGCCATTAGAACAAAACGTGTTGGTACGGAAACCAGCCAGTGGCCAGTTGGCGACCCGGAGGAATCTAAGCGAGAAAGCGCCCAGGGTTCCCCCAGGATGCGCTTCCCCTCGCCGCCACCTGGAGACAGCAGAGTCGCGTCCAGCGCCGCGCAGGCTGATCGCCGCGCCGCGTCTCCGCCCTCGGGTGCAGGTAGCTGGTCCCCCGGAATTCCTAAGCGGAAACCGGTTCCAGGCCCCTCGTCTTCGCTCGGCCCCTTTAAGAGCCAGAATTTCCGGAGGGCTGACCTTGCGGGTTAGGGATGTCCAGGGGCCGAACCACGAGTTGGGAACGGGTGGGGGCGATGGCGAAAACTTCCGAAGTGGAATTCCAACTTTTCCTGGGCCTGATTCCCCTTGAGCGTCCCTGAGGGGGCAGAGCTTCCCTTCCGGGGAATTCAGAGAGTTCCTCAGGTCATCTAACTGGGAGGCGCACGAGGCCCGAAGCGCCCCCCACTACACGCGGTCCGGAGGAACCCCAGTGGACATGGAGAAGTCAGGCGCCACCGACAAGCCTCTCCCAGCCAGGACTTTGCTTAGACTGGCTCCTCTCGGCCGGGCGCACCTAGGCGGGTCCATCGCTAGCCGAGGAGAGGGGTGTGGGTAGGGAGGGAACAGGTGCGCTGCGGGACCCGCCCTATCTCAACAGGTGAATCGCTCCAAGTGGGTCTCGGTATCGTGAATCTCGGTGCGCTACGTTTGGCCGGTGCAGGAGAGGGGCGGACAGGACCTGTGGTCTGCAGGCGCCCTCCCAGCGGGCCAGTCACTTGGTTCATGCCCCGAGGGCCGGAGTGCACCTGGGTCAGCCCACTTCCGGGGAGGGAGGCGGAGGAGCCCCTCCCCGCCGCCCACCCCTAAGCCCAGCCCAAGGCTCCCACCCTTGTGTACCTGGGCCGAACCATTTCCAGGAACGCGCAGCGGGTGGAGTGGCTCGGAGAAGTGCGGTGGGTCAAGCACTTTTCTCCCCCAAATCTGAAAGCGTGCCCTTTATCCACGTCGTTTACGTTCATTAAAACTTCTAGAACGCGGCAGGTTGGGCTTGGAGTAGGGACGAGGAACGGAAGCGGGAAGGGGAGGAGCGTGCACCCCTCCTGGCCTTGGTGCGCGCCGCGCCCCCTACCCTCTCGCTACTTGGGAAGGGACGCGCAGGCCAGACGCGCCCAGACTGCCGCGATGGCGCTGGTGGCCGGCGGACTCTCCGGTGGGTTGGGCTCCCACCCGGCCACGCCAGGCTGGGACGCGGTCCTGTTTGTGTGGCTTCTGCTTAGCACCTGGTGCACAGGTACGGGTCATGGGGTCCCTGACGCTGCGGAACGGCGGAGGGCACTGTAGAGGGGGGATGGATGGAGTTGGAGGCGGCAGGGGCGCCTGGGGCGCGGGGAGCCGGGGGTCGCAGAGCCTGGGACCTTCCTATCTCCTGGGTCTTGGGCGAACTCTTGTGTGCCAGAGTGAGAGGAATTCCCCATCCGTGCCTGGGAACGCTTCCCCCGCCCTTATCTGGGAGATAGCAGGAAGTGAAACTCCCTGAACGGTGAGACCCAGAGCGGCAGGGAGCATGGAACTCTTTGTGGGGAGGGAGTGGAGGGCCTCTGTTCACTGGGTAAAGAAAAGCCGGGACGGGGCTTGGGCGCACCCGGGGATTTCTAAGTGTTGGAGTAACAGAGAGGGCACATGAGGGCTGGATCAGACGCTTCCTAGAGGGAGAGAGACGAAGGAACAATGCCCAGGCCTCGGGTGGGTGTGGGACTGGGGACTCCCCACCCCCCCACCCACCTCCCGCGGGCTCCGGATTATCCGTGCGTAAGAGTCTGGTAGGATGGACTTAGGGACTTCAAACAGACTTCTGCTGGCAGGCTTTCACCCGGATGGGATGTTTGGGTGGGGATGAGGTTTTTCAGCACTTTTGGCGCAGTCATTTGAAGTGACTTTAGGGTAGGGTGAGGTGGTGGGAGGCTGATGGAGATATTGTGGGGGCTTTAGTCACTCCATGGCAACGCAGTTCAGGCAAACAACTCTATAATTTTTGTCTCCAAATTCAAAAGACCCTGGGTAGTTGGTTTTGAAGTGGGGCCTTGAGTGCTGGGGGCATGACCTAGTTATTTGGGCTTGCCTGCCCAGCCCACACAGAGGTCCCCTGCTGTGGGTGAATGGAAAAGGGAAGAGGGGACTGGCAGGTTCAGAGGCCACAGGCTGGGAAGAGGGATGGTGGGTCCAAGGAAACTGGCTGTGCCACTGTGTACCTGCCACTTCAGCCCCACGGGTCTATAAAATGGGCATGATTATCATGGCTGCCTCACCAGTCATGGGGATTAAGGAACAATGTGTGCCAGGCACTCTGTAAACCACACACTTGCAAGTGTCAAGCTGGTGACAAGTGGCATTCCTGTTGAAGCACCTCCCTGAGCTCACAGCAATCCCTGACTCTCCTCTTGCCCTCAGCCCCTGCCAGGGCCATCCAGGTGACCGTGCCCGACCCCTACCACGTGGTGATCCTCTTCCAGCCCGTGACCCTGCCCTGTACCTACCAGATGGCCTCGACCTCCACGCCACCCATCGTCATCTGGAAGTACAAGTCCTTCTGCCGGGACCGAATCGCCGATGCCTTCTCCCCGGCCAGCGTGGAAAACCAGCTCAATGCCCAGCTCGCAGCTGGGAACCCAGGCTACAACCCCTACGTGGAGTGCCAGGACAGCGTGCGCACCGTCAGGGTCGTGGCCACCAAGCAGGGCAATGCTGTGACCCTGGGGGACTACTACCAGGGCCGGAGGATTACCATCACCGGAAGTATGTTGGGTCAGGACAGGGGGGTGAGGTTGGGCTTGCTCGGGTGGTGGGGCTGGCACCCTTGTACCCAGCCTGGAGTCCCCATCTGAAAGCTCTTGAGTGCCAGTGTCTGAAAGGACCAATGAAGGCAGCAATTCTTTTTTTTGTTTTTGAGATGGAGTCTCACTCTGGACTCCAGGCTGCGGTGCAGTGGTGCGATCCCGGCTCACTGCAGCCTCCGCCTCCCAGGTTCAAGCGATTCTCTTGCCTCAGCCTCCTGAGTAGCTGGGACTCCAGGTGTGCACCACCACGTGTGGCTAATTTTTGTATTTTTAGTTGAGATGGGGTTTCATGATGTTGGCCAGGCTGGCCTCAATCTCCTGACCTCAAATGATCTGTCTGCCTTGGCCTCCCAAAGTTCTGAGATAACAGGCGTGAGCCACCACGCCCAGCCTGATGGGAGCAATTCTATTTTACTATTCCTCCTTCTGCTTATCCTTCCATTCCTTAATTTAACATCAAAGATTTCTTGAGCATCTGTCATATATCAGGGCCCTGGGAATACAGCTGTTAACAAAATCATCAAACCACTTCCCTCTCGGAGCCCACACTGTAGTGAGAGACAAACATAACATACACTCAAGTGCTTGAAGATGAAGAAAACTGGGTAATGGAGAGACGAGGCTGGGGTTTGCTCTAATCATATTAATAATACGGGCAGTAAGAAGTAAAATTTATCTAAGTAACAACTCATAAAGGGCCTGTTGTGTGCTAAGCTCCCATCCAGGTTCCCAAGGATTAACTCAGACGCACACTAGTTGAATAGATTCTATTATTGTTATCTTCAGAGGCCCAGAGAGAGAAAGTGACTTGCCTATGGTCGCTTAGCTGGTAACAGGGCTGGGATTCTAACTCGGCCACTTTGGGTCTAGTGGCCAAGCTCCTAATCCCTTTGCTTGCCTAGGGTGGTCTGCAGAGGACTCACAGAGGAGGTGGCAGGTGTGAACTGTGGGGGCAAGAGATCTTAATGGAGAAAGCCTATGATGTGCCAGGAATATCACACACATTCTCCCACTGAGTCCTCTACATTCCTGACAGCTGAGGCACAGACAGGTTAAGTTGTGTAAATGGGTGCATGGGAGGTCAAGGTCTGGAGCTGGGGTTTGAACCCAGGGAGCCCTGAAAATCCTTGTTCTTAACCATCATGCTGCCTCCTGATAGGAAGTGCCTCTTGGGACTAAGCAAGGAACACTCATTCTTTTGTTCATTTGGGATTTATCAAGCATCTACTATGTGTTGTTGGTGCTGGGGATAGAGGAGGTGATTGGGATGGCTGTTTCTGTCCTCAAGGAGGTGACATTATGGTGGGGTGAGACTGGCAGTAAATAAGCAGATAAAGAAAGAATATGAGAATTTCAAAGTCTGGGTTAAGTGGCTCATGCCTGTAATCTCAGCACTTTGGGAGGCTGAGGCAGGTGGATCACCTGCGGTCAGGAGTTCGAGACCAGCCTGGCCAATATGGTGAAACCCCATCTCTACAATACAAAAATTAGCCAGCTGTGGTGGCGCATGCTAGGAGACTGAGGCAGGAGAATCACTTGAACCCAGGAGGTAGAGGTTACAGTGAGCCGAGATCACACTACTGTACTCCAGCCTGGGTGACAGTGAGACTCTGTCTCAAAGAAAAGGGGGATTTCCAGCTCTCTGGAAATCCAGCTCCCACATAGTGGGAGCTCTTTCTTCCCTCCTGGATTTCCCCTCTGGGGTCCCCTTCCACCCAGTGTGGAAGCTGTTTTTCCTCGCCTGGATTCCATCTTTCCGGATTCTCTCATTCAGTGTGAGGGGAGTTTTCCTTCTCTGATTTTCTCCCTCTGGGAACCCTTCTTACTCACTTCGAGAGCATCTTTTCTTTCTCTCATTCAGTGTGAGAGCTAGTTGTTTCTTTCTCTCTCCTTCTCCTTTTTCTTTCTCTGCCTAAATAAATCACTTTTCTGCAACAACAACAACAACAAAAGACTTCATCTCAAAAAGAAAGAGTGAGAATTTCAGAGAGTACTAAGTGCTGCAAAGAAAATAACACCAGGCTGGGTGCAGTGGCTCATGCCTATAAATTTCAGCACTTTGGGAGGCCAAGGCAGGAGGATTGAGGAGGAGTTTGAGACAAGCCTGGACAACAAAATGAGACCCTGTGTCTGCAAAAAATTGTTTTGAGATGCAATCTTGATCTTTTGCCCAGGCTGGAGTGCAGTGGCACGATCTCGGCTCACTGAAACCTCCGCTTCCCAGGTTCAAGCGATTCTCCTGCCTCAGCCTCCTAAGTAACTGGGACTACAGGTGTGCACCACCACACCCAGCTAATTTTTGTATTTTTAATAGAGACAGGGTTTCATCATATTGGCCAGGCTGCTCTCGAATTCCTGACCTCGTGATCCTCCCACTTCAGCCTCCCAAAGTGCTGGGATTACAGGCGTGAGCCATCGTGCCCAGCATGTAAAAATTTTAAAATTTAGCTGGGCATGGTGGCATGCACCTGCGGTCCCAGTTGCTCAGGAGGCTGAGGTGGGAGGATTGCTCGCGCCTGGGAGGTCGAGGTTTCAGTGAGCTGTGATCGTGCCACTGCATTCCAGCCTGGGTGACAGAGTGAGACCATGTCTCAAAAAGAAAAGAAAATAGCACGGGGTGATGTGCTACATGGAATGACTTGGGCTGCAAATATGATTTGAGAAGGGCCTGGGCCCTACAGAACCTAGAAGGCAGAGAGGAAGAGGAGGGGCAGGGTGCCAGGGATGAAGGCTCACCTGCCCCATGTCTTAGTGTGTGTTCACTGTCTTAAACGAGGATTTAAGATTGGGCATGGGGCAGAGGGGAAGGGAGCATCCCTTTGCAGACCCCAAGAAGCCAGGAACTGGAGCACATTCTGGTAGAGGAGGGATGGGAGGCCGGGTTCCAGGGCTGAGCCTGTCAGTCCTGTTTCAGGGGAGGCACCAGGCTTGCTTGCCCTGAATTTCTGTGGGCAGCTCAGCCGCGAGCATCCAGCTGTCACTGAGGTCACAGTAGGAACCCTCCTCTGTAACCCAGGGAGTGTGGCCGCCTGGACCAGGCAGGACTGCTCAGCTCCTGCCAGGACAACCCAAATACTGAGGGTGCTGCCTCTGCTGGGCACAAAAGTGCAGGATGACACCCCAGGCTCCATCTGGGGGAAGGGGCCCTGCATGCTCCAGGGGCCTCACAGGCCTGGGTCTTTCAGATGCCTCCACCTGGGCCCGGGTTGGATAGCAGCCCTGAGTGTAAACATCCATTGTATGTGTCCTTTCAGGAAACCCTGTAGCCACAGGAGCTTCCTCCATTTCAGCTTTGAGGATGGGGGAAAAGTCGACTCCCTGTGGTATTGTCAGCCACTGTGCTGTTTTGTTTTTTGTCGCCTAGGTTCGAGTGCCATGGCGTGATCACAGCTCACTGCAACCTCTGCCTCCCAGGTTCAAGCGATTCTCCTGCCTCAGCCTCCTAAGAAGCTGGGACTACAGGTGTGTGCCACCATGCCTGGCTAATTTTTGTATTTTTTGGTAGAGACGGGGTTTCGCCATGTTGGCCAGGCTGGTCTCAGACTCCTGACCTCAGATGATCTGCCTGCCTCGGCCTCCCAAAGTGCTGAGGTTACTGGCTTGAGCCACTGCGCTCGGCCTGTCCTGGTTTTAAAAGTGAAAATAGTCCTGGGTGAACTAAAAGGCTGTCCACTCCAGGTATCCCTCAGGTCAAGTGGCTCCTGCCCTGCTTCCATCCTTCCATGCTTTGGGTGATGGAGCAGCACCTGGACAGGAGGCCCTGTTCCACCTCCTCAGGCTCTTGGGGTACAAGTGCCCCCACCTCCAGCTGCACTGGAGCAGAGAACCCATGGGACCTCTGAAATCACGAAGGTCACCTTTGTGGTGTATAAAGATGCAGAGTCCTGGGTGCTGTTCCCACTGGAGAGCTGGCATCTTGGCATTTTCTCCCTGCACCCAGAACAATGAAAGCAGTGCTCAGCCCGGGTGATATCAGGGCCAGCCCAGGACCAGGAACAGGGTCTGCCCTGCAGGAAGAAGGTGTGCCCAGGCCTTAGGATGGATCAAAAGAAGCCGGAAAACTGTATTTTTTGTGGGTTTTGAAAATGTCAGATCAAAGAAAACACAGTAAAGTCTAACCTTGGCCCATGAGAAGCCAGATTTCAACCCCTGGCCTATATGATGTTTGCTGTGGCAGGGGGTTCCTGTCCACTCTTTTGCTTACGGCAGGGACCAGCCCTTGAGCTCCAGTGCTGGAGAGGCATAGTCAGGGTCTGATCCAGGCATCCCCAAACTACGGCCCGCGGGCCGAATGCGGCCCCCTGAGGCCATTTATCCGGCCCCCTGCCGCACTTCAAGAACGGGCACCTCTTTCATTGGTGGTCAGTGACAGGAGCACAGTATGTGGCGGCCCTCCAACGGTCTGAGGGACAGTGAACTGGCCCCCTGTGTAAAAAGTCTGGGGACACCTGGTCTGATCTGAAGACACTGGTGGCTCATGCCTGTAATCCCAGCACTTTGCGAGGCCGAGGTAGGAGGACTGCTTGAGGACAGGAGTTGGGAAACCAGCCTGGGCAACACAGTGAGACCCAGACACTACAAAAAATAAACTAGCGGGGCGTGATGGTGTACCCCGGTAATTCCAGCTACTCTGGAGGCAGGAGGATTGCTCGAGCCCGAGTTCGAGGTTGCAGTGAGCCACGATCGCACCACTGTTCTCTAGCCTGGGTGACAAAGCTAGGCCCTCTTAAAAAAGATACAGGTGGAGCCGGGCGCGGTGGCTCAAGCCTGTAATCCCAGCACTTTGGGAGGCCGAGGCGGGTGGATCACGAGGTCAAGAGATCGAGACCATCCTGGTCAACATGGTGAAACCCCGTCTCTACTAAAAATACAAAAAAAATAGCTGGGCATGGTGGTGCGTTCCTGTAATCCCAGCTACTCAGGAGGCTGAGGCAGGAGAATTGCCTGAACCCAGGAGGCGGAGGTTGTGGTGAGCCGAGATCGCGCCATTGCACTCCAGCCTGGGTAACAAGAGCGAAACTCCGTCTCAAAAAAAAAAAAAAAAAAAAAAAAAGAAGATACAGGTGGAAAAATGATAGACATAGAGGGCATTATGGCAAACCTGGACGATTTAGGAAAACCTAGTTTAGAACTCTATGAGGATTCAGCCACTGCTGCGGCCCACGTGGCCACTGACGCAGGCCTGGGTGCTGCGTTGCTGTGGCTGTGGGCAGCGACGGCTGCCCAAAAAAAAAAAAAAAAAAGAATTCTATGAGGATTCAACGAAAGAATGTGTGCAGAGGGGCCCAACACATAGTAAGAGCTCAATAAACGGGGCAGGGGTGGGCAGGGGCGGTGGCTCACGCCTGTAATCCCAGCACTTTGGGAGTCTGAGGCAGTTGGATCACCTGAGCCAGGAGTTCAGGATAAACCTGGACAACAAAGGGAGATCCCTTCTCAAAATTTAAAAAGAAACAAAAAACAGGGGCTTAGATGCCTGATCGTGAGGGGAAGTCGTGTCCTCTACCCCTTCACATCTGCTCTGAAGGTCACCATATTCGGAAGCCTGCCCTGGCCTCCTTGTTTAAAGTGGCACAACCCCCACTCCACCCCTGGCACGCTCTGCCTGCCCTCCCTGGTTCGTTTTCTCCATACAGCTTATCTCTGTCTGATATGTGACAGTGTTATATTTTTAATTTGTTTTTCTTTCCCAGTTAGAATCTGAGCTCTAGAAGGGCAAGGGAAAGGATTTATAACTCAAATGTTTTGGGCTTAGACCTCTTGACACCCTTAATTTTGAAGTTAATTAAGAGCTCAGGCCTAGCTTGGTGGCTCATGCCTGGAATCCCAGCACTTTGGGAGGCCCAGATGGGCGGCAGATCACTTCAGGTCAGGAGTTCCAGGCCAGCCTGGCCAACATGGTGAAAACCCTGTCTCTACTAAAAATACAAAAATTAGCCAGGGATGGTGGCGGGTGCCTGTAATCGCAGCTTCTCAGGAAGCTGAGGCAGGAGAATTGCTTGAACCCAGGAGGCGGAGGCTGCAGTGAACCGAGATTGCACCACTGTGTTCCAGCCTGGGCAAGAGCGAGACTCCGCCGGGCGCGGTGGCTCAAGCCTGTAATCCCAGCACTTTGGGAGGCGGAGGCAGGTGGATCATGAGGTCAAGAGATCGAGACCATCCTGGTCAACAAGGTGAAACCCTGTCTGTACTAAAAATACAAAAAATTAGCTGGGCATGGTGGTGCGTGCCTGTAATCCCAGCTACTCAGGAGGCTGAGGCAGGAGAATTGCCTGAACCCAGGAGGCGGAGGTTGCGGTGAGCCGAGATCGCGCCATTACACTCCAGCCTGGGTAACAAGAGCGAAACTCCGTCTCAAAAAAAAAAAAAAAAAAAAAAAAAAAATTCATAGATATAACATAAATAACATATCTTTTAGGAAAAAAAATAATCATTTTCTGAAACCAGACAAAACATCGTTAACGAGAAGGTGGCGTGGTTTTGTTTTTTTTTGCAACTGTCTGAAGCCTGGCTAAACAGAAGAGGCTGGCTTCTCAAAGCTGTTGAGTCTGTTGTGACGTCTGTCATATGTCACATAACCTCTGGAAAACTCCAGTTAGTACTGTTAGGAAAATAGCTTTGACCTCAGGGTCTAGAGGCTGCAGTTTGAGAGCTGTGACTGGTATACCAGGTGTCTCAAACACTGCCTAGAATGTAGGTGGCACTCAGGAATTACTGTTGAAGGGCAAACGAATGAAATGTGTCTTTGAATACAGCCATGTGCCCAGAATGATGGGACAGATAAAGAAAGCTAAGGGACTTTAGCATGAGGAGAGAAGGGGGTTCATTTACTTTTTTTTTTTTTTTTTTTGAGATGGAGTTTTGCTCTGTTGCCCAGGCTGGAGTGTAGTGGTGCAATCTCAGCTCACTGCAACCTGCGCCCCCTGGGTTCAAGTGATTCTCCTGCCTCAGCCTCCCAAGTAGCTGGGACTACAGACATGTGCCACCATGCCTGGCTAATTTTTTAATATTTTTGGTAGAGATGGGGTTTTATTCTGACGACCAGGCTGGTCTCGAACTCCTGACCTCAAGTGATCCACCTGCCTTGGCCTTCCAAAGTGTTGGGATTACAGGTGTAAGCCACTGCGCCCAGCCTATTTTTTAGTTTTTATTTTTGTTTTTGTAAAGACAGGGTCTCGTTATGTTGCTTAGGCTGCTCTTGAACTCCTGGCCCCAAGTGATCCGCCCACCTCGGCCTCCCAAAGTGCTGGAATTATAGGTGTCAGCCACTGTGCCTGGCCGAGAGGGTGTTCATTTCTGCTCGTGGCCAGGCATTGTGTCAGCCACCGGGGACCCAGCAGTGACTGAGACAGACAGGGCTCTGCCTCATGGAGCCCACATTCTCAGCAGGCAAGGGGTGGCTGGTCCCTAAGCTGGGTGATAGATTTCAGCAGTTGGGCCAGGGAGCTGTGGCAGGAGCTGAGCCCATGGTGGGGATAGTGCAAATCCAGAGCCAAGGTGACGGCAGGGGTGAGGCTAGCACAGTAGCTAGAGGCCATGTTGTGCCAAGGGCCTTGGTGACCTTGGGACCTTAGGGAAGGCGTCTGGAATGTTGTAGCCAGGCACTGTTGCAAGGAGGACTTTTCTGTAGACATGACTCACACCTGTAATCCCAGCACTTTGGGAGGCCAAGGCAGGCGGATCACTTGAGGCCAGGAGTTCAACAGCAGCCTAAACAACGTTGCAAGACCCTCTCTTTACAAAAATAAAAATAAAAACTAACTTCCTTGTGAAGAAGGAAGAAGGCAAGGGTTCTTTCATTCCTTCAGCAGTTACTGACAGGCCTGGGGGTGCCAGGTGCTGTGGACTGGGGCACGCATGGTGGCTGCTGTCACAGAGCTGTCGTGCAGGAGGGCAGCATGTCCTCGGGAAGGTGGCAGGCAGGTCAGGCTGGGAGGAAAGAGGCTGGGAAGCAGAGGGCAATTCCTGCCGGGGTGGATGCCCACCAGGAAATTGCTCCACTCCCCAGGCGGAGTTGCCTGGTAGGTGGCGAGTCTTAACCTGGTGAAAGGCTGAAGGTATTAATTAAGGCCTGAGGAGCAGAGAGGAAACAGGATGTGCCAAAACACTTTGACGGATGGCAGAGTGAACAAGCTCCTTGCCTGCAGGTTCAGACCTTAGCGTCCCCAAGCCCTGGGCCTGACCTGGAATGTGGGGATGGAAGGGGACGGGGAGGGACCGAGGCACTGGGAGGGTAAGTCTCTCCCCACCACATACGCATTCCTTGTGGGTGCCTGGGTGTCTCCTGGTATCTAAAATCTGGCCTGTTTATCTCTACACCCATCCCTGGGGTCTACACTAGGCCCTGTGGGTGGCAGTTCACATTAGGGGAGTTCAGACTTTGGCTCTGAGAGGTGGTTCAGAGATGGGTGTAAGTTGAGAAGCACAGGCTGCCCACGCGGTGGCTCATGCCAGTAATCCCAGCACTTTCGGAGGCTAAGGCAGGCAATCACTTGAGGCCAGGAGTTTAAGAGCAGCCTGAGCAACATAGCAAGACTCTGTCTTTACAAAAATAAAAATAAAAACAAAACAAAAAAATAAGCTGGGTGTGGTGGCTCACGCCTATAATCCCACCACCTTGGGAGGCTGAGGCGGGCGGATTACCTGAGGTCAGGGGTTCGAGACCAGCCTGGCCTACACGGTGAAACCCCATCTCTACTAAATATGCAAAAATTAGCTGGGTGTGGTGGTGCACACCTGTAATCCCAGCTGCATAGGAGGCTGAGGCAGGAGAATCACTTGAATCTGGAAGGCAGAGATTGCAGTGAGCTGAGATCGGATGGCACCATTGCATGCCAGAAAAAGCTGGGCACGGCGGGGTGTGCCTGTAGTCCCAACTACTCTGGAGACTGAGGTGGGAGGATTGCTTGAGTGCAGGAGGTTAAAGCTGCAGTGAGGTATAATTACACCACTGCACTCCAGCCTGGACCACACAGTGAGACCGTCTTGAAAGAAAGAAAAAAAAAAACCTCAGGCTCTGAGGACAGCATTACTGCTCTACACTGAAGAGCTGTCCAGCTTTTCCAGACCTGATGTGTCATCCACAAAACAGGAGTGATAATGGCCCTGCCTCTCAGGCTTCTTGCAGTAGCCCAGGTGTTTAGAACTGGGACATAAAAGGCCGCACACCCTTGATAGGAATCTGCATACGCACTTGCTCATTAGCAGCCCGCCGCTTGCCTACTCCTGGAGGTACTGGGAAAGGCTAAAGTGCCTTCATGCCTTCTCATCCTGACTCAGATGCCGACCTGACCTTTGACCAGACAGCGTGGGGGGACAGCGGTGTTTATTACTGCTCCGTGGTCTCAGCCCAGGACCTCCAGGGGAACAACGAAGCCTACGCAGAGCTCATCGTCCTTGGTGAGTGGGGTGTGGGAAGGGGGAGGCACGGCCCTTTATCTTGTCCGCTTCTGTCTGCCCTCCCGTGTCCACCCTCTGCCCTCCAGCAGCTTACCCTCTTGGGCTCTGTCGCCTGCTCTGCTGTCCCCCGAGCTCTGCCAGTCACTTAGGCTCCCCCGTGCCCTGCACCCCAGGCAGGGACCCCTGGCCCACAGTGCCTCCAACCAGCCAAGCCGAATGAAGAGAAGACTGGAGAGAATTGGAGACTCTGCCTCTTTGAAGTCTCATTTTTTTCTTTTTTAATGCAGACTTGGGGTCTGGGTACAGTAGTTCATGTCTATAACCCCAGCACTGGGAGGCCAAGGTGGGTGGATCACTTGAGGCCAGGAGTTCGAGACCAGCCTGGCCAACATGGCAAAACCCTGTCTCTACAAAAAATATGAAAATTACCTTGCGTGACGGTGCACATGCTTGTAATCCATTACTTGGGAGACTGAGGCATGATGATTGCACATGCCTGTAATCCCAGTTACCTGAGAGGCTGAGGCATGAGGATTTCTTGAACCCAGGAGGTGGAAGTTGCAGTGAGCCAAGATCACACCACTGCACTCCCGCCTGGGTGACAGGGTGAGACTCTTATCTCAAAAAAAAAAAAAAAAAAATCCAGACATGGTCAGAGCTGGGATGGTGCTGCATGGCACACACAGAGTGTGTAAGTTTGAGTGCAGCCAAAACAAGGCCGACTCCAGACACCCAGGGGCAGGGTGGGGTATCCTTGTGGCTGGGAAGCCACACTCCATGTGCTGGGGGACATTGCCATCAGCCAGGTGCCCTGCTGTAAGCCAACACATGGAGTCTCGTGTGACATGTGCTCTGCGTGAGTGATGCTGCCAGGCTGTACACTGCCATCTTCACATTTGTGAATGAGCACATGATTGGGAGGCACTTGGGCCTGAAGTTCATGTGTGAGGGGCGGAACACGTGTTACAGTGACCCAGGAACCTCGGCATGTTCTTCGGTAAAATGCACCATTGGCATCAGCAGTTCCCAAAATTTAGTCTCCAGGTCTATTTACACTCTAAAAAATTATTGAGGGGCTCTAAGAGTTTTGTTTGTTTCTGTGGGTTTTATGTCTATATGTTGCTTAAATGTATTAGGAATGAAAATCAGGAAATTTTTCAAGCCCAGGACACACAAGCAAGCCTGGGCAACATGGCAAGACCCCCGACTCTACACAAAACTTTAAAATTAGCCAGGTGTGGTGCCATGCACCTGTGGTCCCAGCTTCTTGGGAGGCTGAGACACAAGTATGACTTGAGCCCGAGGGTCAAGGCTGCAGTGAGCCGTGATTATGCTACTGCACTCTAGCATGGGGGACAGAGACCCTGGCTCAAGAAAACACACACTTAGCTCCATACTGGGTACCAGGAAAAAGAAACACACACACACAGACACACAAGTATATAGTCCATTAGGTATCAGGGTGATGATGGCATCAGGGAGCCTGGGAAACTCCACTGTACATTCATGGCAGAACAAGTAAAAATGGCAAATACCATCTTAGTGTTATTAGCATTCTTCTGGCCTAGCAGACAGGACCATGCTTTCAGAGCCGCCACCGACATGCCTCTGTCCTGTTGCGAGGGCCTGTGGTGCCAAGTGTATGAGCTCTGGGGAGGGCTTCGTGGGTCAGACTGGGCCTGTGGAGGCCCCTCAGACACAGCACTGGTGGGGCTCAGAGCCCTCACCACTTGAGGGAAGACAGAACCGGGTCTGAGACGCACGAGTATGTCAGTGCATGAGTGGAGAGGGAGACCTCATGGGTCCCAGACACAGGACCACATATGACTTTTCTATATGGGCATTTTTGCCTTCATGGGTCCCTTTCTCTGTTTTTTTTTTAAAAAATAAGATTACGTTGTCATAAAGATAGTTCATTATTATATATTCAATATTAATTTTTTCAGATTTGTGAAATAAAACCATTTCAGCCAGGTGTGGTGGCACATGCCAGTAGTCCTAGCTACTTACTCTGGAGGCTAAGGTGGGAGGATTGCTTGAGCCCAGCAGGTTGAGGCTGCAGTGAGCTATGATCGCACCCCTGCACTCCAGACTGGGCGACAAGAGCTGAGATCCTGTCTATTTTGTGGGCCCCAGGGCACTGTGCCTGCTGGAGTAGGACATCCCTATCACCTTGGTTGGAGCCCCTTGGGGTGCTAAGACGTATAAATGAGGAAAACTTAGGATACCCAAGCTGAGGTAGAGCCCTCAGAGCCCCCTGGGATCTGTGCTGGAGCCCCCATGGCATGAGACACAGGTGGATTTTGCAATGGGAGTTTCTTACCTACGGGCACCCACATCTGGGCAGTGGAGGGTAGGTGCTATGCGCTAGGGCTTCAGCCCCACCAGCCCCTCCCCAATTCAGGGTGCACCTTCCACCTGGCCAGCCTGGAGCTGGGCTTTTGGGGCGGTGTGGCCTGGGCTGGCTCTGGCCAGCATAATCTGTTTCTCTTTTATCCCTCCAGGGAGGACCTCGGGGGTAGCTGAGCTCTTACCTGGTTTTCAGGCGGGGCCCATGGAAGGTACGGGGGGTGGGTCCTGAGTGGGGCTTCTCAGGAGCTCCTACACATCACCTACTGCTTCTGACTCTAGTTAGTATCCCCCTTTCCACTAAACCCTGCTCACTGTGGACCCCTCACTAACCTGGCCTGTGACTCTGAGACATCTAGTGGCCTGGTGCTGGGCTAGGCTGGGCTGAGGAGAGCCTGGGGTGCAGGCCGGGGCTCTGTGACTGGCACCTGCGGTGCTCTTGGAGGTGTGGTGTCTGGGCAGCTGGCTCTCTCTTTTTGTCAGTCTGTCTCCCTGTGGCCAGGCTGCCTCTTGTTTTCTGCATTGTGTATTTGCACCTGGGGGAGGGCCCTAATTTGGGGACTGGCTGGGATTTTAGAGGGGGGAGTATGCTGTTCCCAGCCTCTGGCACAGAGAATCCAGCCAGGGCTGCAGCTTCCTTGGTGAGCTTTGCAAACAGTCCCCAACCTCAGTGCTGGCCCTGCACCACGTGCCCCTGCTGCTATGCCATCGGCCCTGTTCCCTCCCAGGCCTCCAGGCTCAGGGCCTGTTCTCTCTCTGCAGACTGGCTCTTCGTGGTTGTGGTGTGCCTGGCTGTCTTCCTCGTCTTCCTCCTCCTGGGCATCTGCTGGTGTCAGTGCTGCCCACACACTTGCTGCTGCTACGTCAGGTGCCCCTGCTGCCCAGACAAGTGCTGCTGCCCTGAGGCCCGTAAGTGCCCCGCTCACAGCCACCCTGGTTCGGGCAACATTCTGTGTCCTAGGGGAGGAGGTGGCCATCCGCCTGCCCCAGGACAGTGGTGTGGGTCTGGAGGGGGTGAATCTAGCCAGTGGGGGAAGTGGGCTCAGGAGGGTCTGCTGCTTTCGACTGTCATTTACTTCCTTCAACTTCCAGTTTGTTTTTATTCATGTTATTTTTTCTTTTGGAAGTATAATCCATACACATAGTAAAAATGTCCAAGAGTACAAGATATTATTCGTATAAAAGTAAAGCCCTCTTTAAAAACCAAATCTAGGCCAGGCACAGTGGCTCATGCCTATAATCCCAGCATTTAGGGAGGCCAAGAGTTCCAGATCAGCCTGGCCAACATAGCAAAGCCCTGTCTCTACTAAAAATACAAAAATTAACTGGGCATGGTGGTGTTCACCTGTAATCCCAGCTACTCAAGAGGCTGAGGCAGGAGAATAGCTTGAACCCAGGAAACAGAGGTTGCAGTGAGCTGAGATCACGCCACTGCACTGCAGCCTGGGCGACAGAGCCAGAATCTGTCTCAGAAAAAGTAATAAAATAAAACAAATCTTAAGTGAAAAAAGTAAGAAAACAAGGTTTACAACACCACATGATTTAAGCAAATTTTATTTTTTTTAGAGAAAGCATCTCACTGTGTCATCCAAGCTGGAGTGCAGTAGTGCGATCATAGTTCACCATAGCCTCGAACTCCTGGGTTCAAGCAATCCTCCTGCCTCAGCCTCTGGAGCAGCTGGGACTGTAGGTGCACACCACCACGCTCAGCTAATTTTTTGAGTTTTTTTTTTTTTTTTTTTTGTAGAGACAGGGTCTCACTATGTTGCCCAGCCTGGTCTCAAACTCCTGACCTCAGGTGATCCTCCAACGTCAGCCTCCCCAAAGTGCTGAGATTACAGGCATGTGCCACCATGCTGGCCAGTTTTAAAAATTTTGTTGTAGAGACAGGGTCTTGCTACATTGCCCAGACTGGTCTTGAACTCCTGACCTCAAGTGATCTTGCCTCAGGCTCCCAAAGTGATGGGATTACAGTCATGAGCTACCACCCCTAGACTTAAATTTAAGGAAAAAAAAATTTTTTTTCAGACAGTCTGTCGCCCAAGCTGGAGTGAAGTGCCGAAATCTCGGCTTACTTCAACCTCTGTCCCCCGGTTTAAGCAATTCTCCTGCCTCAGCCTCCTGAGTAGCTGGGATTATAGGCGCCTGCCATCACACCCGGCTAATTTTTGTATTTTTAGTATAGGCAGAATTTCGCCATGTTGGCCAGGCTGGTCTTGAACTCCTAACCTCAGGAGGCCCACCTTGGCCTCCCAAAGTGCTAGGATTACAGGTGTGAGCCATCACACCCGGCCAAAGGTAAGCAAATTTTTGAAAACACTTATCCACAGGAATGCTGCACATTTTACCTGGCTACTATGTCTAGGGACTTATCTACCACATCAGCATGGGTACCTGTGAAAGCTGGGACTCACTGTGGGACTAGAGCTAAAGGGGAAGTAAGCAAACCAAGCAGAGGAAGGTAAGAGAAGATGGGGGAGAGAGAGAGACAGAGACAGAGACCTAACTCTGAGATGAGTCAGACATGCAATTGACAAAGACTTGCTCCTGCCTCTCTTCTGTGAATATCCCAATTGGACATTTTCACACAGGAGCTGATAGACGTGGTCACAGCCATCAGCCTTGGGACACCAGGGCCCCAGGGTGTACACTAGGTGGCACTGATGGACACTTCAGCATCCCTCCAGCTGCTGCCCTGTTTCCTCACCTCGAGGACCACAGCTATTGCCAGTCCTTGGTTTCCTTCGGGAGGGTGTCTGGGTAGACCAGCCTCTGCACGCAGTCCAAGATACACAAACAGTGAAGTACCAGGCAATCCTTGCAAGCGTGGGCAGGTGGAGGGCTGAAGCCTGCTTGACACCTTCCTGCTCAGAAGCCCAGTGAGCGATTTCCCTCCCTAAGGCTGAGTGTCCTCCCCTGTAAATTGGGGCTTATGGCAGAGTTCACCATACTGGGTGCATCTGGGGTTTTGGTGAACTCATGCACAGCATTGAGCCTGGAGCCTGATCTATATAAAATATTCTATGCCTGCCAGGTGCTGGGCACCGCCACTGTAAGTCTCAGTAATGACTCAAGGCCAGCACAGTAACCCCGGAGAAGCAGCCTTCCCTCTCTGAGTCCCGTTTACTTCTCTGTAAGGTCCCGACTTTATGGGGTGTTGTGAACATTTGAAGTCGCTGACTTTTATAGTCACTGAACTCAGTAGTGTGCGACCTGGTTCCTCAAAAAGATCACTTTCCTGAAAAAATTCCACTGCTCCCTGGAGGCTTATGCAGGCCATCCCCTCCTTTCCCTCTTGTCGTGTTTAGCTGACAGCTCTTTGCTCAGGCAGTGGGTGTTAGGTCCATTTCACAGATGGGCTGCAACCAAGTTTGCAGTGAACTCACAAAGACCAGAGATAAGCCCAGGACTGCAAATGCTGGTCCCCATGCCACATTCCCCTATCCCAACACCACATTTCCTCCATCCGAGGACCCTGTTACCCCAACCCAGGGCCCCATTAACTCCCTGGCAGAGGCCCTGTTACTTCTGATGCTGCCACAGCCTTTGCCCACCCGTCAGGAGGCAGCAGGTCCCACTGCTGATTATGAAGTTGCAGGCTGCTTGAGCTAATGAAGAGGCTTCGTCTAGGCTGTGCACTTAGCCTTCTGCTTCCAAACCAAATCAGAGGTGAAGCACCCTCTTGGAGCCCATCTCTCCCTGCCATTTTCCTGTTGGGAGTCCCAGGGAGGAAGCCACTTATCTAGGGCCCAGAAACTTTGTAAGCCTTTTGCCCTGGGGGGAAAGGAAAGGAGGAGGATCTTACTTTGAGCTGTCAAGCCTAGAGCCTGGTGGGTGTTGCCACTTCGCTGCTTGGCTGGGGCAGGCAAGTTAACTCCAGGCTCCTGCCATTGCATCTTGGTCTGGAAGGTGACTTGGTGGGCAGGACCTACGTCTCCCAGCTAACTCATTTTTTTTCTAGAGCAGGAGCTTGGCCACCAAAGAAGATATTTGATTTCCACTTGTGGGGACAGTGGTGGACCCAGCACCTGGGCTTTATCTAAAGGGGCAGCTTTGTTGCACTGTAAACACACAGGCCCTGGGTGGCCACTTCTTCCAGTAACTTAGCTGGAGAGCTGGAGTTTTAGGTAAAACCTTTTGCTTGACAAATGTTGGCAAATCATCATGAGGTTAAATGTAACACTGTCCTGCCACCCTGGGGCCGTGAACTGCCTGTGTGCATCCTCTGAAAAATCACCAAGGAAGTGGGGTGGGATCTCTTGTGAAGCTGGTGTCCCCTAGGCTCAGGGATTCTGCAGAAATGGAATGAGGACCAACAGGGACCCAAGTGCCCAGGGAAGCTCTGCAGTGGAGAGGGCAGGTTAGGAAGGAGGTCCAGGCCCAGGTCCCTCCGGAACCGGATGGGTGTGGGGCAGCCTGGCTCCTGCCTGGCCCACCTTCTCATGTTGATTTTTGTCCTCACAGTGTACGCTGCTGGCAAAGCAGCCACCTCAGGTGTTCCCAGCATCTATGCCCCCAGCACCTATGCCCACCTGTCTCCTGCCAAGACCCCGCCCCCACCAGCCATGATTCCCATGGGTGGCTATAACGGGTACCCTGGAGGATACCCTGGAGATATTGACAGGAGTAGCTCAGGTGAGTGGGCGGAGCAGGAACAGCTGGTGGGGGTGTCCTGGGCATCTGGACACTGAGGGGCAGGAGCTGGAAGGAGGAGGGTCTTGGGAGCTAAGGAGGGGCTCTGCTCCTGGTGGGCAGCCCCCGACAGCCACTCTCCCCTAGCTGGTGGCCAAGGATCCTACATACCCCTGCTTCGGGATACAGACAGCAGTGCAGCTTCTGGTGAGAATCCATCATCCCGACGTTGGATGTACCTCTAAGGGAGAGGGCTGGGCCAGGAACCATCCTCCCAAACCAACCACCTCCACCCTATCCCTAGAAGTCCGAAGTGGCTACAGGATTCAGGCCAACCAGCAAGATGACTCCATGCGGGTTCTGTACTACATGGAGAAGGAGCTGGCCAACTTCGACCCTTCTCGACCTGGCCCCCTGAATGGCCGTGTGGAGCGGGGTGAGGAGCAGCCTTGGGATCTGAGAGCTTTTAAGGTGGGGTGGGGGGAAGCATGACTCCCTGATACCTGCCCCAGGGACGCTTGGTGCAAACCCTGGACCCTGGGCTCCTCCAGCAGTCAATGACACCTCTTCCCTGCAGCCATGAGTGAAGTCACCTCCCTCCACGAGGACGACTGGCGATCCCGGCCTTCCCGTGGCCCTGCCCTCACCCCGATCCGGGATGAGGAGTGGGGTAGCCACGCCCCCCGGAGCCCCAGGGGATGGGAGCAGGAGCCCCCCAGGGAACAGCCAGGGGGTGTCTGGCGGGCCGGGCGGCCCCGGGCCCGCTCCGTGGATGCCCTGGACGACCTCACCCTGCCGAACTCCGCGGAGTCAGGGAGCAGGTCTCCCCCGAGTAGTGGTGGGAGGAGAGGCCGGGCCTACATGCCCCCGAGGAGCCGCAGCCGGGACGACCTCTACGACCAAGACGACTCGAGGGACTTTACACGCTCCCGGGACCCCCACTACGACGACTTCAGGTCTCGGGAGCGCCCCTCTGCCGACCCCAGGTCCCACTACCACCGGACCCGAGACCCTAGGGACAACGGCCCCAGGTCTGGGGAGCCGCCCTATGATGGGCGGCTACTGGAGGAGGCCGTGAGGAAGAAGGGGCCCGGGGAGAGGAGAAGACCCTACAAGGAGGAGGAGGAGGAGGAGCCCTACTACCCGCCCGCGCCACCCCCGTACTCCGAGACCGACTCGCAGGCGTCCCGCGAGCGCAGGCTCAAGAAGGTGAGGGCCGCCCCCGCCGAGCGTCCAGACCGTCCCTGGGTCCCCAGCTGGTCCCCGCGGCTCATACCCTTCTTCCTTTCTCCCTTGCAGAACTTGGCCCTGAGTCGGGAAAGTTTAGTCGTCTGATCTGACGTTTTCTACGTAGCTTTTGTACTTTTTTTTTAATTTGAAGGAATACTGATGAAGCCCTGCCATGCCTCTCCCGAGTCTAATAAAACGTATAATCACAAGGCCGTGGTCTGAAGAGAAGCGTTTGTTCCGCCGCGCGGGGCGGGGGGAGGGCCGGGGCTGCTGCCGTGTGTGTCTGTAAAGCGCCGCGTCCCGGGGGCGCCTGAGTCCCGGGCCAAGAGGAAGAGACCCAGCCCGGCCCAACCCGCACCCGCGCCACCGTCCCGAGGACATGCCCGGAGCAGCCACCGCCCGCCTACGTGCGCGCCCCAGCCCCGCCCAGGCGTGCGCATGCGCCTAGGACCTCCGCCTTCGCGCAGGGCAGCCCGACCTCCGGGAGCGCGCGCGCGCGCGCCCCCTCCCAGCCCATCCCCCCGTCCTCCCACCGACCTACTTTACTGTCTCCAATCCCGGGCAGCCCGCCTGACGCCCGGCGACCCAGGCCCCTGCTCCGGGTGCCCCGACGTTCCATCTGGACCCGCGTTCCAGCCGGGCGGCGAGCGGTGACCTCGCGCCCCGCGGAATCCCGGAACCGCGCGCGCCCGCCCGCACTCGGAGATAGACAGCGCGCGCGCTCCCGGGCCGCCTCCCCCCGCGCGCGTCCGTCCCGGGCCCGCGCCGCCGCCGCCGCCGCCGCCGCGCGCGCGCAGCTCAAGTAAAGAAGGAAAAAAAAAAAGGGGGAAAAATAGAAAGCGGCGGCGGCTGCAGCAGCGATCCGCCGCCGGACTGGGCCAGGCCGGGCGGCGGCCACACGAGCCGGCGATCCAGGGCACCGGCGGCGGCCAGCCAGGGCGGGCCGTGTTCAAAAAAAAAAAGTCGCGGCGGCGGCGGCTGCTCAGGGAAGGAGGCCCGAGGGCCGCGTGCAGCGGGCGGGCGGGCGGGCTGGGGGCGGCCGCGCGGCGTCCCGGAGCCTCGGGCCGCCCGGAGCCGGCGGGCGGGCGGAGGCGGAGGCCGCGGCGGCTGCAGCGGCTGCAGGAGCGGCGGCGGCTGCGGCTGCGGCGGCGGCATCTCCTCCTCACATGACCCCACTGTTTGTCCCCGTGATCAGCGCGAGCGGCTCCCGTATCTCCTCCGTCCCCTCCTGCCGCGCGGCGTGAGCGCCGGGCTCGGGGCCCCCCCGGCCGCCCGCCCCCTCCCCTCCCTCCCTCCCCTCCCCTCCCCTCCCCCCCGGGCCCCGCGCCCCCCCCGCCCCCGCCCCCCCCATGGACATGCTGGACCCGGGTCTGGATCCCGCTGCCTCGGCCACCGCTGCTGCCGCCGCCAGGTAAGAGCCCCGGCCGGGCCGTGCCCCCGCGCCCCAGCCCCGGCCCCGCGGCCTGCAGGCCAGGCCGCCATGATCCCAAGCGGCCGCCGGCCCGGCTCAAAATGGAGGCCGCCGGTGCGGGGGGGACCCGGCACCTCCCGTCCCCGGACCCCGGCCTCAGCGGCGCCCCTGACCTCAGGCGCCGCCGGGCGGGACTGGGGCCCCACAGCTGGGCGTGGGGGCGGGGGCGCGGGCCGCGCTGACCCCGCTCCCTCCTGTGCCCGTGGCAGCCACGACAAGGGACCCGAGGCGGAGGAGGGCGTCGAGCTGCAGGAAGGTGAGTGCTTGCCGGGCCGGCCGCGCCCGGGGAGGGCTGGGGGCTCCAGGCGCGGCCCTGACAGTGCCCCGACCCTCCTCGGCCCCAGGCGGGGACGGCCCAGGGGCGGAGGAGCAGACGGCGGTGGCCATCACCAGCGTCCAGCAGGCGGCGTTCGGCGACCACAACATCCAGTACCAGTTCCGCACAGAGACGAATGGAGGACAGGTGAGCTGCGGGCCGCGAGGAACTGGCGGGCGGGCGAGCGTGCGGGGAAGGCTCGGACTTGGCCCCAGCGCCGGCCTCGCCGCTCTGCTGCCCCCTGCAGGTGACATACCGCGTAGTCCAGGTGACTGATGGTCAGCTGGACGGCCAGGGCGACACGGCTGGCGCCGTCAGCGTCGTGTCCACCGCTGCCTTCGCGGGGGGGCAGCAGGCTGTGACCCAGGTGGGTGTGGACGGGGCAGCCCAGCGCCCGGGCCCCGCTGCTGCCTCTGTGCCCCCAGGTCCTGCAGCGCCCTTTCCGCTGGTAGGTGCCCCGCCACCCCTGGGAGGGTGGAGAGGGGACATTGGCTGGGCTCTTGGGGAGCCCCGGGGGTGGGATGCTGTGTCGCCCAGTGGATGCTGCCCTCAGGCCTCAGGCTTTGCGGTGTCGGATCCCTGTTGCGCACAGTGAAACCTGGGGAACAGTACTCTTGGAATTTTTTTTTTTTTTCTGCAAAATGGGAATGATGTGTCTAGGAGAAAAGTTTCTTAGACTGCTTAGCAAATGATCGCCAACTTCCTGCCTGTTCCAGGGCAGTCTGAGACACTGGACGACTGCTACATGCAGGAGTCTTCACTCTTCTGTTAATTGCAGAAAATGTAGTAAACCCCAAACTCAGCAATGAGGGGACGGGATGGGGGAACAGAGAAAGCTAAGGGTAGTCTCTGCCCTCCTATTCCCCAGGCTGTGATCCAAAATCCCTTCAGCAATGGTGGCAGCCCCGCAGCTGAGGCTGTCAGCGGGGAGGCACGATTTGCTTATTTCCCGGCGTCCAGTGTGGGAGATACTACGGCTGTGTCTGTACAGACCACAGACCAGAGCTTGCAGGCTGGAGGTGAGGAGAGGAAGAAGCCAGATTGGCAGGCAGGGGAGGCAACTGGTCCAGCAGGGAGGGAAGCCCCCACAACCAGTTCTGACTCTGCCCTCTCGTGCCACTAACCCCCCGTTCCCTGCAGGCCAGTTCTATGTCATGATGACTCCCCAGGATGTACTTCAGACAGGAACACAGAGGACGATTGCCCCCCGGACACACCCCTACTCTCCGTACGTGCAGGGGGCACCAGGAGGGCCTGGCATTGGAACCAAAGGAAGGGAGGAGTTTCTGGAGTAGAAGCTGGGCAGTTAGTATGAAGCGGGTGCATGGTGTAGTATTTTCTGTTCTTTGCCTGTTTCTGCTACTCTAGTGCGTATAAAGTATCATCTCTTTTCTCTCTTTACCTAGATTTATCTTGCAAAGATAATTTTTAAGTCTGATGCTTGAGCAAACAGATCTGCCATAATACATGCCCCCTTTTCTTTCCTCCTTTTCTAGAAAAATCGATGGAACCAGAACACCCCGAGATGAGAGGAGAAGAGCCCAGCACAATGAAGGTGAGGACAAGGTGGGGCTTCAGGCCCCCCTGACCACCACCCTCACAGGCTCAGCTGGCCCCGGGGTGTGGCGTGACAGAGAGGGAGGCCACTCTGGCCCAAGCCTGCCACAAGTGCTCCAGAGGGCTTCACTGGACGCTGAAAAGGTAGAAAATGAGCAACGAAGGGAGAGTACAGTGTCAGGAGCAGAGGAGCAGGGACCGTGAACAGGGAGTGTGTGCTGACCCAGCTGATGATCTTGAATTCATGGCTCACATCTAAGGTGGGGGATTTCACATTCCCATTTGGATTGCCTGCCCTGCTTGAAAAATAGGGCTGACCGGGTTCACCTGGGCTGACCTTTCCACGTGGCAGCTGTCGTGCTCACATCCCTCACTCCCATGCCTGCCTGGTCTCCAGAAGTAGGTCTGGTCCCCCAGGGAGCACATCTGAGGGAGAAACTGCGTGAAGCGCTGTCTGAGGCTGTAGCATTCTGCCTTTCCAGAAACACCAAGTCTCGCCTCAGGTCATTTGGCACTCAGCACCGTCCTCTCCTCTCCTCCCTTCGCCCCCCCCTCCCCTTAGTAGCCCTGCAGTGTGCAAGTGCCAGGGGAGCGTTTATACCCAAACAACCATCATTCAACAAATACTTACTGCCCGTGGATTCCAGGCTGAGCGGCACGGGCCCTGTGCCAGGTCTGGAGTCTGGCCTGGAGTGTCAGAGAGGCTCGAAGGCTGGAGGGCTTGAGTCTCATGGGACTTTGATGTGGGGTGGGCTGGGGTGAGGCATCCCCAGGGAGAGGGGAGTGTGGGTCAGATTGCTTTGTGGGGTTCTGGTTTGGTTGTGGGAGAGGTTCCATGTGGAATGCCTCAGGAAGGAAGACTGGGAAGATCAGGAAGGCCTTGAATGTCCGAGCGAGGCCGTGAGTCTTGAGTCCTAAAGGTGGCGATGGGACTGGGGTCTGTGGCCCAGGTAGTTGTGTTTTGAACCGTTCCTCTGAGTTCAGGTGTTCATGCCGTTCATTCAGCGTGTGTGTTCGGCCAGCCCCCATTTTGCATCAGATACGGCAGTGCGGTGGTTAACAGGACAGACGAGGTCTGAGCGCTCTGTGCATTCTGGTGGAAGAGATGGAAGTCACACAACCAGAGCAGGTGTCAGGCAGCATGGGCAGCCACAGGCAGAGTTGGAAAGCTGGGGAAGGAGGTGGCGGGTGATGACAGCACAGCAGTGTACCCTGAAGGGCTCTCTGAGAGGTGACATTTAAACAGAGGCCTGAAGGGACCTGAGGGAAGGGGCCTGTTGAGAACCTCAGGAGAGTCCCAGGCAGAGGGAAGAGCTAGAACACAGGCCAGGCCCTGAGCCGGGGCCACTGCGGTGTGTCTGCAGAAGAGCAGAATTCAAGAAAGAAAAGAGGAACCTGGTGCAATGGAGGGGGCTGCCCAGGCCAGATGGTGGAGGACTTTGGAAGAGGTCCCCAGTGTGGCTGTCTGGGCCCCTGCAGTTTTATTCCGGGGTGATAAGAAGCCAGCGGAGGGGTTTGTGCTTGGAGGCTGCTGGCAGGGCTGGTGGGAAGAGGCTGGGAGGTAGGAGGCCATGTAGGTGTCAAGCCTGAGACAGGGCAGGGGAGCAGGAAGATGGGGGGAGGACTCCAAGGCTGGAGAGTCAGGTTTCATGCCGGATTCCTGTGCTTGGAAGGGAAGGGGTGCATCTGAGCTTGGCTTTGGGACGCATTGAGTTTAGGGGGCCCCAGGGCAGCCCCAGCCCCACTGCTTACCTACGGTGGCGAGCATTAGGGTGGTTCTTAATCTCCATGCCTGTCCTCCCTCTGTGAAATGCTGGAAGCACAGCTGCCCCTGCGGGGGTGCAGTGAGTCGTGGTGGCCACATAGTAAGGCTGAAGAGAAGACTCGGGACCCTCCCACCCCCTGTCACTCCCACCTCTCCCTTGGTTAATTCGACTCTGGCAGCCTTGAGACTTTCTCATCCTGTGAAGCAGTCGCCATCACCTGCCCGCTTCTCCAGCTCTGTCCCATCTCTGCTCTCCTGACCTCCAGATCATCTGCCCCCATCTGCTCATCCTCCCAGTACCCTCGGCCGTCTGGCTCATTGCTCTACCTAAACAACTCCACTTCAGGTCACCTATGGTGACCCCATTGCCACATCCACTGGCCTCCTTTGCTGTCTGGGCTCCAAGCATCTGACGCTGCCTGTGTCTCTCTGTTCCTTTCTGGAATCTTCTTTCACCTCTATCCTTTTTGATTCTCCTGTGATCTTTGTCCCTCCTGCCCCACTGTTAACAATGCAATCTCCAGGGCTCTCCCAGTTCCAAGGGAGTAGATGGGAGCGCCTGGGAATCTGTTTTCCACCAGCTCTTCAGGTGATTTTCATAGTCCACTAAAAAGAGCTGTTTCTGAGAAAAACGCAGTTTTTGAGAAACTGCTTTTGCTGCAGGTGTTTCCTTTTTTTTTTTTTTTTTTTGATAAGTGGGGGGGGGGGTCTCACTCTGTCACCAGGCTGGAGTGCAGTGGCACAATCACAGCTCACTGCAGCCTTGACCTTCCAGGCTCAAGTGATTCTCCCATCTCAGGCTTCTGAGTAGCTGGGACCACAGGCAGGTGCCATCACATGGGGTCATTTTTTATCTGTAGAGTCGAGGGCTTGCTATGCTGCCCAGCTTGTCTTGAACTTCTGGCTCAAGCAGTCCTCCGGCCTTGGCTATGGGCCTGAGTCTTGCCCAGTCTTGCTGGTGTTTCTTAAGGTCCAGCCCCTTCTTCCGTCGGCCTCAGGTGTATGACGCGTGAGGCCAGGGGCGGGCTCGGGAGCTTTTGGTCAGTATCCCCCAAACTCTGTTCCCACTTGTAGGTGTTCCTCTTTTCTCTTTGCTCCAGAAGAGTGTGTGACTCACGAAAAGTTGAGGACTGTTTCTTGATGTCCTCCCAGGCTTCGCCCACCAGCTGGCTCCTGGTAATGCACAGAGCTGGATTTCCATTCCATTCCTCTCATTGGAACTCCAACCCCACATTTTGAACTACCCGTTCAAGATCTCCATCTCTGGACATCCCTGCAATGCCTCAAATTCAACTCGCCCAAAACAGAACGTGCCATCTCCCCTCTCCAAAGGCTCTCAGGCAACGTTCCTCTTTCCAGAGCAGCAAAAGCCACCCCTGTCACAGTTGCCCAGGCTGGAAGCTAAAACTAGAGTTGCTTTCAACTCTGCCCTCTTCCCTTACGGCCGCAATCCCCAAGTTTTCGTTCTGTGGCGAATTTCAGATCTGCTTCTTTCACTTCTTTTTCCCTCCTTCCCACCACTTCTTGGTACTATAGCAGCTCATCCCAGAGTCACAAACTCAACGGCTGCAGGGGCCTGAGGGAGGGAGGTGGCATGTCAGGAAGGGGCGTGTGGTGGGGCGTGGTGGCTCACACCTGTAATCCCAGTACTTTGGGAGGCCAAGGTGGGTGGATCACTTGAGCCCAGGAGTTCGAGACCATGCTGGGCAATGTGGTGAAACCATGTCTCTACCCAAAAACTTAAAAAATTAGCCAGGCCTGGTGGCACATGCCTATAATCCCAGCTTCTCAGGAAGCTGTCGGGGAGGATGGCTTGAGCCCGGGAGGTGGAGGTTGCAGTGAGCTGAGATTACACTCCAGCCTGAGCAACAGAGCCAAACCCTGTCTCAGAAAAGAATAGGAAGGGGTGTGGGAACCCCCAGTGTTGTGGGGCATGTGTGTCCTGCCTGAAGGATGGCCCTTTCCCAGTGTTCAGGTTTTCTGTCTTGATTTTCTTTGCTTGTTCTACCAGTTCTTGAGAAGGGTGTCCGTGTCTCTCCCGATATTTGTGGATTTGTCCATTTCTTCCTTCAGTCCTGGCAAGTTTTGCTTCTGAATTTTTTTTTTTTTTTTTTTTTTTTGAGACAAGAGTCTTGGTCTGTCGTCCAGTTTGCAGTGCAGTGGCGCGGTCTCGGGTCGCTGCAACCTCCGCCTCCTGCGTTCAAGCAATTCTTGTGCCTCAGCCTCCTGAGCAGCTGGGATTACAGGCACACACCACTATGCCTGGCTAATAAATTTTGTATTTTCAGTAGAGATGGGGTTTCGCCACGTTGGCCAGTCTGGTCTCGAACTCCTGGCCTCATGTGATCCACCTGTCATGGCCTCCCAAAGTCCTGGGATTACAGGCATAAGCCACCCCATCCGGCCTCTGAATTTTGTTTTTAAGTGTCCTGTGGAGTAACTGAAGTGCTTCTGCAGAATGGACGTGGCCTTGGTCCTAGTAGGCCTTCCCGTATTTCTAATGTGCTGTGATGGTCTTCTGAAGCCGCAGGCTGGACAGCATCACCACCTGCTAAAGTCAGGGCCTAGACTCAAGGGCCTGGGCCTCCAGCGGAGGAGGAGATGCAGTCCTGACCTGCCAGCCGGTCTTGACAAGCTCTTCGCACCCCCACACAGCCACAGTGTGTTTTCAGGCCACCATTTCTGGGATCTTCCCACCTGTCTGCCTTACAGCCCTTCTTCTCAGGAACCAGCCTGAGTGTTTCCTGGCTCTCTGAGGATTCGTTCCACCCCCATTCCCATGCAGAGGCCATGGCCCGGCGTCTGGCATTCCCCAGGCACTTTGTACCATCTTCAACGGTGACACAAATGCTATGGCGTCAGTGCCACCTGCCCACAGTGGTGCTGCAAGTGCCAGTGGGGTGGTGCTGCTTCCACCCTGGACCCTGGCTTGGCAGAAGACCTGGCACGCAGTAGGGCAGGCAGTAGGTACTTAAGAAGTAATCACATGCTGGAGAGGATATAGCTGCAGCCGGTGCCCAGCCCTTGAGAGGACCACAGGAGGGCAGAGGCTGAAATGAGGCCGCCTACCAAGTTCCTCCATGGACTTCTGGGCGTGGAGTGCTGTGCTGGGGACTGCGCCAGCGGTGCTTCCAGGCCTGGCCTCTCAGCTCCACTGATGCTTTTGGCCACGGAGTTCCCGCAGGCAGGTGTGGCTGTTTCTGGTGGGAGGGTTCAGAGCACTGTGACAGTCATAGGGGAGCAAGCGGTCACTGAGCCCTGCACAGGGCCTGGACCCTGCTCTCTAGTGAGCACTGATCTTGGGGTATCGGTTTTGGAGGAAAGAGAGGAGCACGAGGGTGGAAGAGGGGCCAGGGAAGAGTGGTCATGGTGGGAGGGGAGAGTCCACGTCCATGAGGGTTTGTCACTCGGGCCTGAGTGGGAAGCATTGAAGGCTGGGAGGGCTGGTCAGTAGCATGCGGACACAGCCCAGAGAAGCCAGAGGGGTTTGCTGGTGGGTGGGCCCAGCCTTCTCAAGGGAACGGCAGGGCCGGGGAGCTGCTGATCTTGGGGCATGAGGGCAATGGGCAGGCTGTGGCCCACTCCTCCTCCTCACGCTCACCGGAGCCCTGCCCGGTTTCCCGTCACCACTACCCAAGGGTTGGAAAACACCCCTGGCCTTCCTGCCACATCCGCACTAGCCATAGGCTCCATTCCCCTCCACAAATGCCCTAGACAGCCTGAGCCACCCTGGCAGGGGGCTGGGGGTCCATAGGGTGGGAGTTGGGGGTAGCTAAGCATTCTTTCCTGTCTCCACGGTGCCTGGTGCTGGGGCTTGGCAGGCGGTGAAGGGTTGGGACAGCCTGGCTTCAGCAGGCCCTGAGCCAGGGGTCTCAGGCTCTGGGACACACAGACCCCAGGCAGGTATCAGGATGGGATGTGCTCTGGGGGCAGCTGCCGCCCGGCCAACACAGTTGGGGTGAGATTGTGGAGTTTTACGGAGTTAAGTCACAAATCTGCGTTTTTAAAGTAAAATCTTCTATGAGTTGCCATCTCTGGCCTTCAGCATAGGGTTTGTGTCTCTCCTGGGTGAGCCGATGCCCTGTGAGCCGCAGGTACCAGTTAGGAGCTGCCATTGCCCTGTGTAAGGATTTTAAGCAGGGGCGAAACATAGTCAGACTAGGACTTAGGGATGAGGGAAAAAAACAAAATTACGCGGCCCAGAGTCTCTGGGGAGACTGGAGAATCCAGTGCAGGGGCTGCCGGAGCCAGAGAGGGAACCTGTCCTAACGAAGAGGAGCCCAGCCCATCCCTGCCTCCCAGTATGTGCCCACTGTGGCCAGAGCGCCATTTCTCCAAATAAGCCAGCGATGCCAGTTACGACGTGAAATTTCCTTATTTTTAACTGTCAATTCAAATTTGTACAAGTATGGCCAGGCAGGCCCCCAAAATGAACTCAAAGTGCCTGGCCTTTGATACCCGTCCTGGCACTAGATGGCTCAGCTTTCCTTGTTACACTTGAGAAGCTGGGGTGGGGGCTGGCTGGGCTCATGTTTCGGCCCTGCACTTCCCAGGGCTGTGGTCTGGGTGGGGCCTGCACCGTGCCTTGGTGTCCTCGGGGTGAGCCTCTGCCCTGTGAGGATGGCCGCTCAGGCACAAGCACTGTCAGCGAAGCCGTGGCTGTGACTGTTTCCTGCAGTGGAGCGGAGGCGGAGAGACAAGATCAACAACTGGATCGTCCAGCTTTCGAAAATCATTCCAGACTGTAATGCAGACAACAGCAAGACGGGAGCGGTGAGCGCCCCGGACCCTCAGGGGCTGCAGCGGGCCTGGCCCCCAGCCCTTGCACGCAGAAAGTCCAACTGCCATGGGGCTTGGGAGTCGTCCTGGGGTGGGGGCCAGTGGGTGGTGCCCGCCCTAAGGCTCCTGGTCCCCTCGCCCCCCAGAGTAAAGGAGGGATCCTGTCCAAGGCCTGTGATTACATCCGGGAGCTGCGCCAGACCAACCAGCGCATGCAGGAGACCTTCAAGGAGGCCGAGCGGCTGCAGATGGACAACGAACTCCTGAGGCAGCAGGTGGGTGCCAGGCCTGGAGTGGGTCAGGGCCCAGGAGCCCCAGAGGCCAGGCACTGGCCCTCTACTCCCTTGTCCCCCGTCGTGTCCGCCAGATCGAGGAGCTGAAGAATGAGAACGCCCTGCTTCGAGCCCAGCTGCAGCAGCACAACCTGGAGATGGTGGGCGAGAGCACCCGGCAGTGATGCCCGCCGCCACCGCGCAGCCGCCGCCGCCCACGCCGGCCTCTGCTGCCCCCTTCCCCAGCCCTTAGCACAGAGAGGGACACACGCCCCTCCCCCAGCTGCGTTTTTTTATAGTAGATTTTTAACAAAAAAAAAAAAAAACGGGGAGAAATAATGCATTTCTGTGGATACAGTGCCCACCGCCCTCCTCCACTTGGAAACGGTATCCTCCCTCCCCATCCGTCTGTCTGTCGCCCTACTCCTGGCCCTCACTAAGCCCCAGCACTTCTAGTGGTCTCACCTGGAGGCAGGAGGGAGGGGGACGGAGGCCCTGCTGCGTCCCACTGCCTCCTGGTCTCTGGAGGTACTGAGACAGGGTGCTGATGGGAAGGAGCGGAGCCTTTGGTGGGGGCCACCCAGGGCCTGGACCTACACAGGGTGGCAACATCCCACTCCACCTCTTGTTTCTGGGTCCCTGCTCCCCTTTGGGTGTGTGTGTGTGTGTTTTAATTTTCTTTATGGAAAAAATTGACAAAAAAAAAAATAGAGAGAGAGAGAGGTATTTAACTGCAATAAACTGGCCCTATGTGGCCCCCGCCTTGTCTGCTTGTGTGTCTGTCCATCTCAGGAGTGGGGATGGGGCCTGGGGTCTGCAGAGCTCCACAAGGCACCGTTCCACTGTTGTGCACATGGCTGTGTACCGTCCCTGCCAGCTGCACCACCCGGTACCCAGTGGTTGGATGGATGAAGGACTTAAGGAATGAATGTCCCGTTTGAGGCCCTAGGTGTGTATGAGGGTGTGGAGCAGCAGGAACTGGGGTCAAGGACGTGTCCCATGTTGGAGGAGAGGCTGGGGTCTCTGTGTCAGCAGTTCCTGGAAACAGGACCAGCCCCTGGGCCTACCCTGCTGGGCTGAAGCCCTTCCCTCTGCATCAGCCAATGGTGGGGCCTGGCCTTGAGCCCCTCACCCCTGGAGAGGGCAGATAGCCAGAGCGCCAAGCTTGGCCCGTCAGCCTGTCGCCTTCCACCGAGGCTCTGGCGCCTGTGCTGTGACCCCTGCCCTGGCTGATGATGAAACCTGGCCCGAGCTGAGATGCAGTCTGGTAGGGCTGGGGGCTGCCGCATGTCTCCCCGAGTGAGCGTGCCCCGACTCTCTGAGCCCTGCCTCATCCTGCAACCCCCTTCAGCTCCTTCCAGTCCCAGGAGCTGGGCTTGCCACTCTGCTCACCTTGTGGAGCTCAATGCCCTACCTTACCCCAAATGCACCCCACCTTGTCTCTTCCCTCAAGAGCCCTGTCTCCTTTTCCTAGCCATTCCCATCTGAAGCCATCTTTATTCACTCAGTTTTCAGAGATAGGGTCTCACTTTTGTCACCCAGGCTAGAGTGTAGTGGCGATGATCATGGCTCACTGTAACGTTGACCGACTATGGCCAGGTTTCTGTAGAGATGGGGTCTCACCTTGTTACCCAGGCTGTGGCATGAGGAGCTTCCCACGTGGTGTGGATGGGGAGGCAGATGATGGGGCCTGTCCATTTCTGTGCTTTGAGTGGGCCTTGGCAGCGGCTCAGCAGCCAGGAAGAAATGTTCATTCCTTGACAACAACATTCCCAGGCTCTGGTGACTGGACTGACACTGGATGGCCCTGGAATGAAAGAGAAAAAGTGGCAAAATGTCCAAGGGCCCATCTGGAACCAAGGTTTGTCGGTCCCTTGGGCCATGTGCACCCTGAGCTGGACCTAGTAGTGGATAGGAATAGTGGCAGTGGGCGGGAATAGTGGCAGTGGGTGGGAATAATGGCAGTGGGTGAGAATAGTGGCAGTGGGCGGGAATAGTGGCAGTGGGTGAGAATAGTGGCAGTGGATGGGAATAGTGGCAGTGGGCGGGAATAGTGGCAGTGGATGGATGATTGCTAACAGCCAGCAGTCAGGCAGCCTGGGTTTATTCCCCAGCCATTGGGGTCCTAAGGAACCAACTCCCTGTAAACATCCCTGGCTTGTAGTGCTTGCCGATTTCTGTATGTCAATCAATACTCCCACCGCTGCTGATTTCAGGGTACCACCATGATGCTACTGAATGCAGAATTTCGAGATGTGCGTGGTCTGCTCTGGAGCAGGTCTAACAAGCCACTGTGCCCTGCTGTGCTTTAGGGGAGATGGGGAAGCCTATGGGTAAGTCCACAGGCCCTGGGGTCAGGTTGTCCAGGCCAGCTCTGCCTCTGTCTGGGCAAGCTTGGGCTATACCCTGATCTCTGACTTTGGTGCGTTTTCTTTAAAGTGAAGGAAATGAGTGTTCAGGGAGGAGGCTCCTAAGAGGGAGCAGGGTCTGGGGAGCCCAGGCCCCTGGGGTTGGATGGCTGAGAAGGCAGCCCCTGAATACAGAGCAGAGCCCAGGGTGGGGCAGCAAGTGCTGCTGGGAGAATAAGCGGCACAGGCTGAGCTGGTGCAGAAGTGAGTTAACATATGTGCTGTCTTACAAAATGCACTCATCAGACAGCAGATGTTAGCTATTATTGTTACCGTTATTTCATATTTTATAGATGGTCTCACTCTGTCAGCCAGACTGGAGTACAGTTGCATGATCATAGCTCACTACAGCCTCAACCTCCTGGGCTTAAGTGATCCTCCTGCCTCAGCCTCCCAAATAGCTGGGACTACAGATGTGTGCCACCATGCCTAGCTAACTTTGTTTAAAAATTTTTTTTGTAGAGATGGGGTCTCCCTATGTTGTCCAGGCTAGTCTTGAACTTCTGGGCTCAAGCAATCCTTATGCCTCGGCCTCCCAAAGTGCTGGGATTACAAACATGAGCCACGGTGTTGGGCCATATTACTGCTGTCATTTATGGCCAAAAGTTTGCTCAAACATTTTCCAGTTACCAGAGCCATATCTCAAGGGTCTGACACTGGGAAAACACCATGTGCGGTTCAGGGGCACACGCTGATGCCCGTCCTGCTCAGGGCTATCCAGCATTCCCAGCCAGAACCTATGCATGTGTGGTGAGAGCCCAACACAATGGATGCTTCCCCCAACAAGTCGGACACTCCTGAGGGGCCTGCAGCTGCCGGCCATGCCCCGTGCTCATGGCGGCTGAAGCAGGTGGAGGAGAGCGGAACCTTGATTCTGGTCGTCAAACTGCTTAACCGCTGAAGCAATGCAGGGAACTTTTTCCCAATCAACAGGATGATGTCATGATGGGGAAAGGTTTCCCTGGATGGCTGGGCTGGCGAGCAGTGTGTGTCTGTGGCCCCATCTGCCCCACCCCCTGGACACACCTCTGCCGGCTGAGGGTGACACAACCCTGTTCCCTGTTGCTCTGTTCCCGCTTATCTCTCCCGCCTTTTCGGCGCCACTATCTTCTTGGAAATGAGTCAGAGCAAAGGGGAGGGGGCTCAGACCACTGCCTCCCCTGGCAGGCCCCATAAAAGCGACTGTCACTGGGTCCTAGACACCAGAGCAAGCTCAAGGCCCAGCAGGGAGACAGCCGGACAGACAGCACGATGGCACTGAGCTCCCAGATCTGGGCCATCTGGCTCTTCCTCCTCCTCCTCCTTGCCAGCCTGACCAGTGGCTTCGTTTTCCCACAACAGGTAAGAGCCCAGCAGCCTGGGTCCTAGCAGGGTAGCAGGGATGGGAGAGCCAGGCCACAGCCGAGGGCACTGGAGACACCCGAGCACTGAGCAGAGCTCAGGATGGCTCGGGGACTGGCAACTGCTTAAAGAACAGGAATCAGGCCAGGCACGGTGGCTCACACCTGTAATCCCAGCACTTTGGGAGGCTGAGGCAGGTGGATCACTTGAGGTCAGTTTGAGACCAGCCTGGCCAACATGGTGAAACCCTCTCTCTACTAAAAATATAAAAATTAGCCGGGCGTGGTGGTGGGTGCCTGTAATCCCAGCTACATGGGAGACTGAGGCAGGAGAATCACGTGAACCTGGGAGGTGGAGGTTGCACGGTGAGCTGAGATTGCACCACTGCACTCCAGCCTGGGTGACAGAGCAAAACTCCATCTCCAAAAAGAGAACAGAAATCAATGAAGCACAGAGCGACAGGGACTGGAAGGTCCTAATTCCATGGATATTTATGAAGCCCCAATGCCGTGTCACTCAGTAGAGTGACCGTGATCCATTCGCCACACAGCAGTCACTTTTTTGGTTTGTTTTTTAGAGACAGGGTCTCCCTCTGTTGCCGAGGCTGGAGTGCAGTGGCACAGTCACAGCTCACTGTAGCCTCAACCTCCTGTGCTCAAGCCATCCTCCCACCTCAGCTGCCCGAGTAGCTGGGACGGCAGGCACATGCCACAGGTGGAGGGACCACGGGCGCGGTCAGGGGGCTGGCAGTCAAGCAAGTGTTTCCTGAGAAAGTGACAGCTGACCTATGTCTCGGAGGGTGAGAGATGGAGGCAGCAAAGAACCAAGGAGAAGACAAGCCAGCATAGCCCAAGGTCAGAGCTGAACCAGAGGAGAAGGTGGGCCTTGGGGATAAGGCTGAGGGTGGGCAGGTCCCAAAGTCTTGTGGGCAGCCATGCAGACACTGATTTTTCCTTGGAGTGAAGAGGAAGCCCCTGCAGGCTTTGTGTGTGTGTGTGTGTGTGTGTGTGTGTGTGTGTGTGTGTGTGTGATGAAGTCTCTCTCTTGCCCAGGCTGGAGTGCAGTGGTGTCATCTCGGCTCACTGCAACCTCCACCTCCTGGATTCAAGCAATTCTCCTGCCTCAGCCTCCTGAGTAGCTGGAATTACAGGCGCCTGCCACCACACCTGGCTAATTTTTGTACTTTTAGTAGAGATAGGGTTTCACCATGTTGGCCAGGCTGGTCTTGAATTCCTGACCTCAAGTGATCCACCTGCCTCGGACTCCCAAAGTGCTGGGATTACAGGTGCATGCCACCATACCCGGCTAATTTTTGTATTTTTAGTAGAGACAGGGTTTCCCCATGTTGGCCAGACTGGTCTTGAACTCCAGACCTCAGGTGATCTGCCCACCTCAGCCTCCCAAAGTGCTGGGATTACAGGTGTGAGCCACTTTGCCTGGCCGCCTGTAAATTTGTTAAGTGGGGAAAACCACAGTCTCACTGGCCATGTTTTTAAAAATGTTAGTCTGCCACCTGGGCACTGTGGCTCACATCTGTAATTCCAGAATTTTGGAAGGCCAAGGTAGGAAGATCACTTGAGCCCAGGAGTTTGAGACCAGCCTGGGCAACACAGCCAGACCCCACCTCTACAAAAAAATTTAAAAATGTGTCAGGTGAGGTGGTGTGCACTTGCTGTCCCAGCTACTCGGGAAGCTGAGGTAGGAGGATCGCTTGAGCAAAGGAAGCTAAGAGCGCAGTACGCCATGACTGTGCCACTGCACTCCAGCCTGGGTGACATAAGGAGACCCTGTCTCTAAAAGAGCCAACAAACAAAGTGGTTCTTCTTTGTGGCAAATGGATTGAGGGGTGAGAATGCAGGGAGATGTGTTAGGAGGCTGGCACTGGTATGCAGGCAAGGGAAGGTGATGTCCCAAAGAAGAGTCACAGCTGTGGAAAGAGGAGGCGGATCTGGGAGGTTTTGATTTTTTTAAGGAAGAACCGCCCGTGGGAAGGTGAGCAGAAGCAAGAAAGCAAGGTCCCTCCTAGAAGTCCAGCTGAGCTCTGGGTTTAAACCACTTAGAGAGGAGCAGGTTGCTGGAAGCCAGTCTAAGAGGTCCACCGGGTCCCCTGCCATCCTCAACGCCCCCTTCTGTTTTCACAGACAGGACAACTCACTGAGTTTCAACCCCAGGACAGAGTTGGAGCCAGGGCCGGCTGGATGGTGAGCAAGCCAGTGACGCCCTTCCCAGCCCCCTGCTCCCTTCCCATGCTCAGGCCTGTTCCCAGCTCACACTCCCTTCCTTCCCACAGCCCATGATCCAGAGGCGAAGGAGGCGAGACACCCACTTCCCCATCTGCATTTTCTGCTGTGGCTGCTGTCGTCAATCAAAATGTGGGATATGCTGCAAGACGTAGAACCTGCCTGCCCTGCCCCCGTCTCCTCCCTTCCTTATTTATTCCTGCTGCCCCAGAACACAGGTCTGGGAATAAAATGGCTGGTTCTTTTGTTTTCCAAACCAGAGTGTCTGTTGTCCTTCCTCTCTGCCGAGTGCCTGTGCTAAGAGCTTGTCCTGATCCCTGCCTTGCAAGTGCCAGTGCTTGGTGGGTCATGTGGGGCTGCTCGGTCCTGGAGGTTGCCAGAAAAGTTGGTAAAACACATTTGTTTCTGTTCTCCCCCTTCATGTTGCAATAGCAGGGAATGTAAGTTAATGTTTCCTCTCCTTGAGGTCTTCCTGAAACAGCAGTAGAAATCAGTGCCTATAAGGCAAGCTTGTCCAACCCGAGGGCCACATGCAGCCCAGGATGGCTTTGAATGCTGCCCAACACAAATTTGTAAACATTCTGAAAACATTATGAAATTTTTTTTTTTTAAAGTGACGGGGTCTTGCTACATTGCCCAGGCTGGAGTACAGTGGCTATTCACAGGCACAATCCCACTACTGATCAGCACGGAGTTTTGACCTGCTCCATTTCCGACCCGGGCTGGTTCATCCCTCCTTAGGCAACGTGGTGGTCCCCTGCTCCTGGGAGGTCACCATATTGATGCCAAACTTACTGTGGACATCTGATCGGCACAGCATACTACAGCCCAGAACTCCTGGACTCAAGCGATCCTCCCACCTCAGTCTCACAAGTAGCTGGGACTATAGGCATGCACCACCACACCCATTGAGATTTTTTTTTTTTTTTTTTTTTTTTTGAGACGGAGTTTCGCTCTTGTTACCCAGGCTGGAGTGCAGTGGCGTGATCTCGGCTCACTGCAACCTCCGCCTCCTGGGCTCAGGCAATTCTCCTGCCTCAGCCTCCTAAGCAGCTGGGATTACAGGCACGAGCCACCATGCCCAGCTAGTTTTCTGTATTTTTAGTAGAGACGGGGTTTCACCATGTTGACCAGGATGGTCTCGATCTCTTGACCTCGTGATCCACCCGCCTCGGCCTCCCAAAGTGCTGGGATTACAGGCTTGAGCCACCACGCCCGGCCGAGATTTTTTTTTTTCCAACTTTTTTTTTAAAACTCATCAGCTATTGTTAGTGTGTTTTATGTGTGGCCCAAGACACTTGTTCTTCCAGTGTGACTCAGGGAAGCTGAAGCTGAAACAGACACTGCTATAAAGGTTCTCAAATTAAGATCCAGAGACTCTTTTTTTTTTTTTTTTTTTTTTGAGATGGAGTCTCACCTTGTTACCTAGGCTGAAATGATTGGATCTCAGCTCACTGCAACTTCTGCCTCCTGATTTCAAGCGATTCTCCTGCCTTGACCTCCTGAGTAGCTGTGACTACAGGCTCCAGCAACCATGAATGGCTAAATTTTGTATTTTTAGTAGAGATGGGATTTCACCATGTTGGCCAAGCTGGTTTTAAAATCCTAACCTCAAGTGATCAGCCCACCTCGGCCACCCAAAGTGCTGGGATTATAGGCATGAGCCACCATGCTGGGCCTGCCCCACACTTGATAGAAACAAAGGTAGGATCTGCATTTCACTGCCTTCTTAGCTCTGTGGAAGCAAGAGCTCCCACTCGATGGTAAAGGGCATTGGTCATCCGGCTTTGACGCTGGGAGTGGACAGGGAGTGGGAAGGCCCAGGCTTAGCTGGAGAGGGCCCCAAGACACGGCCGCCACGCCCAAGGGAGGCAAACCTGGCTAGAGCTTCAGATTTTGTCAAGAGAAGGTGGGAATTCCTATTTTTATATATTTCTTGCTTTTACAGTATTGGCAACTGAGCAAAGGAATTTGTCTTTTTACATCAACATTCTGTGAGCCAAACTTATCCCAGCTGGGAGCCAGACTGGCCCGGCGCACCACCAACGTCTGTCTTAGCTTTGGAAGCCACAGAGGCTTGTCTTCTGGGAGGGGAGGTTTCCTGAATGAAGACTGAAGGCGTAGGGAGAGGGGAGTTGTGGTGAGCTTGGCATCTTGTTAGCTGCAACATCTTGCATGCATCTTCTTCATATCTGGAGCTCCACATCCTCATCTGTATTTTTTATTTTATTTTTTTAGTCTGGGTCTTGCTCCATAGCCCAGGCTGAAATGTAGTGTTGTGATCATGGCTCACTGCAGCCTTGACCTCTGGGGCTCAAGCAATCCTCCCATCTCAGCCTCCTGAGGAGCAGGTGCCTACCACCACGCCCCACTTAATTTTTGTATTTTGTGTAGAGATGTGGGTCTGGCTGTGTTGCCCAGGCTGGTCTCGAACTCTCAGCCTCAAATGATCCTCCCACTCCAGTCTTCCAAAATGCTGGGACTACAGGTGTGAGCCACCATGCCTGGCTTTTCCTTACCTTTAAAAGAAGCACCTGGCACGGTGGCTCATGCCTGTAATCCCAGCACTTTGGGAGGTCGAGGCCGATGGATCACCTTCGTTTATGAGTTCAAGACCAGCCTGGCCAACATAGTGAAACCCCTGTCTCTATTAAAAATACAAAAATTATTCAGGTGTGGTGGCACACACTTATAATCTCAGCTACTCAGGAGGCTCAGGAGAATTGTTTGAACCCAGGAGGCAGAGGTGGCAGTGAGCCAAGATCATTCCACTGCACAGCAGCCTGGGCAACAGAACAAGACTCCATCTCAAAATAAAAAACAAAATAACCAGAAGCGTCTCTACAGGACTTGGCTTATCTGGCTCTAGATGAGTGTGAAATTGTTTTGGAAACTGTCCAGTGCCTCATCAATATAAAGGATTTATATTGACAGGGAAGGGTGGAGGCCTCCCTCCTGGCAAGTGGGAAACCTGAAATCAGGAATGACGACATGGGGTGCTCTTCTCTCCTTAGCAAGCAGTTCTCTGGGGTGGCCCTAGAGAGATGGGAGAACATGCAAAGCAGAGATACTCACACTTTAGCGTGCTCAAAAGCTCCTGGAGGGCCTGTGAGATTGCAGATGGGACCAGGTGCAGTGGCTCAAACCTGTAATCCCAGCACTTTAGCAAGCTGAGGCTGGAGGATCACTTGAGGCCAGGAGTTCAAGACCAGCCTGGCCAACACGGTGAAAGTCCATCTCTACCAAAAACACAAAAATTAGCTGGGAGTGGTGGCACATGTGTAGTCCCAGCTACTCAGGAGGCAAAAGAACTGCTTGAACCTGGGAGGTGGAGGCTGAAGTGAGCCAAGACCTTGCCACTGCATTCTAGCCTGAGTGACAGAATGAGACTCTGTCTCAAAAAAATGAATTAAATAAGTAAAAATAAAATACAGATGAGGCTGGACGTGGTGGTGCATGCCTATAATCCCAGCACTTTAGGAGGCTGAGGTGGGAGGATCACTTGAGGCCAGGAATGTGGCTGCAGTGACCTATGATGGCACCACTGCACTCCAACCTGGGGGAAACAGTGAGACTGTCTGTAAAACAGACAAAAGGCAGACAGCTGGGCCTCCAGAATTTCTGATTTCACAGGTGCAAGGTGGGGCTTGGAACTTGCATTTTGAGCAAGCTGCAGTCCTTTGGGGGCTGGTTGTGCAGCTGCCAGCACTGACAGAGGGCAGCAAAGGGCTCTTGGATGGATCCAGCCTCAGCCCCCATCGATCAGAGCTTTACGATTTAAGGGAGAGCTCCCCACAGCCAAGAGCTTGATTCTGAATTCCTGCTGCTAGACGTTGAACTGTGTTCTCCCCAGTCACACTGAAGTTCTAACCCCCAGTAGCTCAGAATGTGATCTGAGTTGGAGGTAAGGTCTTCACAGAAGTAATGGACTTAAAATGAGATGGGGATGGGTGCAGGCTGGGTGCGGTGGCTCACACCTGTAATCCCAGCACTTTGGGACGCCAAGGCAGGCGGATCACCTGAGATGGGGAGTTAGAGACCACCCTGACCAACATGGAGAAACCCCGTCTCTACTAAAAATACAAAATTAGCTGGGCGTGGTGGGACACGCCTGTAATCCCACCTACTCAAGAGAAGGAGGCAGGAGAATTGCCTGAAGCCAGGAGGCGGAGGTTGCGGTGAGCTGAGATCGCGCCATTGCACTCCAGCCTGGGTGACAAGAGCGAAACTGTCTTTAAACACAAAAAACAAGACAATGATAAATCTGGCAGGGTGCGGTGGCTCATGCCTATAATCCCAGCACTTTCAGAGGCCAACATAGGAAGATTGCTTGAGCAATATAGTGAGACACTGTCTCTACCAAAACAGAAAACAGAAATAAAAAAACCTGCCAGTAGTTCCAGCTACTAGGGAAGCTGAAGCGGGAGGATCACTTGAATCTGGAGGGTCGAGGTGGCAGTGAGCTATGATTGCACCACTGCGCTCCAGCCTGAAGGACAAAGCAAGGCTGTGTCTCTAACGTGCATCCATACATACAGACAGAAAAATGGGAAATCTGTGTGTAAAGCCGGTTGCCCCACCAGAAGCTCGGACACGCCCATCCCTCGCCACGCCTGAAATTACGTCACCAGAATCTGCACTCAGCATCTAGCTTTGCCACGCCCACCTCTGCACTCAACACTAAACTCTGCACTCGGCACCTAGCCCGCCCTTGGAAATCCCCTCTGCACTCGGCACCAGGCTCTGCACTCGGCACTAAACTCTGCACTCGGCACCTAGCCCGCCCGTGGAAATCCCCTCTGCACTCGGCACCAGGCTCTGCACTCGGCACTAAACTCTGCACTCGACACCTAGCCCGCCCTTGGAAATCCCCTCTGCACTCGGCACCAGGCTCTGCACTCGGCACTAAACTCTGCACTCGGCACCTAGCCCGCCCTTGGAAATCCCCTCTGCACTCGGCACTAAACTCTGCACTCGGCACCTAGCCCGCCCTTGGAAATCCCCTCTGCACTCGGCACCAGGCTCTGCACTCGGCACTAAACTCTGCACTCGGCACCTAGCCCGCCCTTGGAAATCCCCTCTGCACTCGGCACCAGGCTCTGCACTCGGCACTAAACTCTGCACTCGGCACCTAGCCCGCCCTTGGAAATCCCCTCTGCACTCGGCACTAAACTCTGCACTCGGCACCTAGCCCGCCCTTGGAAATCCCCTCTGCACTCGGCACCAGGCTCTGCACTCGGCACTAAACTCTGCACT